CCTCTAAGTCTTTTCTTGAAATACTGCAACTAGGCTGACCTACAGGCAGAATTTAATACACTGTCACAAACACTTTCTGAGTGCCTCTGGGAACGTAAGCGGGAAGTGGCAATACAGTCTGACAAGGGCTCTAAAGAGAGGGAAAGAAAGATCTGTGGAAGGATAGGGCAAAGGGAGACTGCTTCCAGCTCTGGGCAGGGGGAAGAAAGTCACAGAGAAGGTGGCTTTTGCTCTGGGTCCAGAGGAGCAGGAGAGCATCAGTGACAGAGGAACTGGGTCCAGATGTCACAGGGTGTGTCGCCATCAGCAACTTTTCCTTGTGCGAGTATGTTGAATGTGGACCATCGCATCGATTGGGGCTGGCAGTTCCAGTGGGTAGAAACAGTGAACAGCACTCTTTGCATGCGTCCTGTCTGCCAGATTTCTTTTACGTGCTGTACAGATAGTCCATCACTGGACATTCATATACCCTTTGGCTGGATCCTGAATTATTCCCCCTTCACATGCAAGTTCACATGTGTAAGAGGTAGCTCTGGGGTTCAGACTCCTACCCAGTAGTCTGACAGTCACAACCATGACTTAATGGCCCCATGTGCCCAGTGCCCGGCTCTGGGGAGATGCTGGCGAATGGGATCGGTGTGGGCTCTACCCTCTTGGAGCTCACAGTGGTGTGTGCTGATAATAGTCCACACTTAGCTCTTTCTCATGTCAGTGTTTTTATGAATATTGTTAGACATGGTAGAATCCTCACCTTCCAATGTTGTGTGGCTTTGAAATTTGTGTGAGGATATTTGTGGTTACATCTTAAGTGTGTATGTCCCAGTAGCCCTTGACTTTTGTGATTCTGGGCACACTGCCCCGGGTGGAAGGTGAGTGACACCAGCCTGGACCAATCAGCACGTTCCATCCACCAGCCCCACTTCTTGGTTCCAGAGTGGGTGTGTGACGTCATCTGCCCTGATCATGTTGGTTTCAGGTCTTTTTCTGGAAATGCCCTCCAAGATATGAACAAAGAAACGGGAAGCTCTCTAGCCTCTGAAGCTAGGTTGGGACAGGGACAGGAAAAGCTTGCTGAGGTTGGCGTCATTACCAAGCGAATGGAGTAGAGAAATCAAGAGAGAGAAGTAGGGTCCTGGTGGCATCACTGTGCTCCTGGATCATGCCTCTCCTGAAGCCCTTACAAGATCTATGGAGTTTATAGTTGCAGAAGCCAGTTTGAGTCAGGAGCCCATCGAAATCCGAAGCTTACAGCTTGGGAGGCTGTGGTGGCCATCGCTGGCCTGAGAAAGTGTCTCTTGAGTCCCAGTTTGCTGCTCAGTCTTTGTGTGACCACAATTCTCCAAGTCTCGTTTCTTTATCTGCAAAATGAGACGGTCAGATTGAAATAAAAGTGATGATGACGACGATGACCATTGCCACTTACCGGGCACTTGCTGCTGGCCATCTGCTCCGCGGAGGCTTCACACGCGACATCTCATATAGTTGGTCCAACAGCCACGTGACGTAGTAACACGAGGAAGCTGACACCCAGAGCGACTGAATCGCTTGCTCCAGGCTGCACGACACGATCACCGAGATTCCATTCAGGTATATGACGCTATGGAGCAGATATTTTCCTTTTCTTTTTTTTGAGAAACCAGCTTCTTCACTGCCAGACCAGCCAAGAGTGGGCATCTAACACACATCCGTTGAATGAATGAATGAGTGAATGAATGAATGAATGAATGAGTGGCTGGATGACCTCTAAGAGCCCACCCAGCTCTAGAATGCCCTGAAATCTGCCGCATGCTCGTTGCCTAATGAGGGTCCCCAGAAGCATTTTTGGGGCGAAGGGCAAGCCTCTTTCTCCTCCTGTGAGCTAATGCTCCCTCCGCCGACTGCGCCCCACTAATGAGGGGACACAGCCCAAGGGGACCGTGTCTCCAGGCTAATTATTTTGCAGCTGCTCTGGCCGCACAATTCAAAATCTTCAGGCTATTGTTGGTGTTTTACATCTTGCCACTGTTGCCCTTGTCAACTTCCAAGGGCACCAAGCCACGGCCCGATGGGCTAGTCCTTTCAAGCTCAGCTTGATGGCAAACACCAACTTAATTGAGCTGGAATAATAATTTTTTCCCTTTGCTTGATGTGCAGGTGACAATACTTAAAATATCGACATGCCTTAATACTTTTAAATTCAGTTGTTTGCTGATCAGCTGCAGCTACTTAAATTGACCAATCTATCTTGCCCAGCTGGAGATCAAGGGATCAGCACTTAATTTCATTCCCTGAATAAAGAATTTTTTTTTTATATCCACATGGAAATATCAGAACATGAAAGGTTAAATCAATATGGAGTTTTACATTGCTTAAAGGGCATTTGCATCAAAGCAGCCCTGAATGCAATTCACTTGTTTAATGAATTTTTTATGCTTATTTAATGAATTTCACAAAGGTTTGGTGTTTTTCATAAAATGGATAAGGACTTCCAGTTTTATGAAATAATAAAAATGGAACTGAAGTTATGAAATGAGCAATCTCATTAGTTAGGCATGATATATTCATATGAAAATGTACATGTCTTTGTATTATTGCCTGGGCACCATAATGCGAACAGTGACTTATTATAATAGCATGGCAAATATTCCTCTAGTTAAGATATCAAGAAGTGACAGAAGGAAATTGCATTTTCTCCCCATTTCTAATAATGACATAATTAATGCTCATTTAAAATAATTACCTGGGCATTGTTTCCCGAGAGTGCCGAGGCCTAGCTCACTTGTAAATGTGTTCTGAGATACTTTTGAACTTTGATAACTCAAATGACGTCTCTTGCTTTTTAATTAATTATTTGTTGAGGTAAGGAGTGATCCCTTGCCTCTCCATTTTAATGTCCTGGTGCACAAACAGAATACACAAGACTAATTCCATCAAACACAGAAGAAATATCTTGGAGAGAAAGAGATTGAGACTGCGGTATTAATTCTTCCTTCCTGGGGCTTTGTTTCTGGGTTCTATATTTCTTTGGATTTTGAGCTTCTTGTTTAGTGTCTGGAGTTTGTGAACTAGTCAGGTACTGATTCATCTTTGATATTCGGAGGTCAGAGGGTTGCGCTGGTTAACAATTCAGGCTTTGAAACACAGATCTGTGCTTTGCAACTATTTGACCATGGGCAAGTTGCTTAACCTCTCTGAACCGTAGCTATAAATGAAGGATCGTTCTTTGTAGTTCTTGCTTCCTGAGGTTATGGGCAAGACTGAAAGAGCCCAGGCATGCGAAGCACCTAGCCCGATGGCTGGCATCTGGGAAGGACCCGTCACAGCTGTGGGCTGTGTCGGGGATTGGCTGGGCCTGGAATTTGCTGGGTGCTCCAGTGCAGAGTCTGAACAGAAGTCGGTGAGTCAGAGCTAGGGAGGGCCTCACTGGGGAACTCGCAACTGTTTCATCTCACTTTCTTTTCCTATGCAAGAGGACAGGCAGCTGGAAGGCTCCTCTGGCACTGGACGCTGATATCAATCTCAGTGGCATTAATAATACAGTGCAACCAAATTAATTCTGGCTTCCCTGATTTCACAGAAGGGACAAATTCAGACAAACACTTCCGTGAGCATGGTTCGGGCACTCACTGGGTGCTGGATGCCAGCAGAAGGTCCCCAAGAAAAGGGAAAGGCATAGTGCCTTATTTTGAGGGAGTTTGTAATGCTGGCAGGGCAATATGAAACAGCCAGGATGCAATTTTATTGCCAATAAAACTCCTTATATCTGTACAGCACTTTGTAGTTTCCCAGAACCTTTGAGGAGTCACATAAGTAGTTGAGCCATAGGATTCCTTAGGACTCTTTCAGTGGTATATTGAAATCATTTCACTGGGGGCAGAGAATATTTAGCGTTGTAGTTAGCAACTTGGTCCCTGCAGTTACAATCGGGTCTCAGCACCAGCTCTGCCGTGCGGCCTCCCGCAGGTCACTTAACCTCTCTCAGCGTCAATTTCTTCATCTTTCAAATGAATGATGACCCACCACATTTAGTGGCATAAGAGACCCATGCCCTCTTCTCTCTTCCAACACCAAAAATGACTGTGCGTCCATTGTGCCCATATTCCAGGTGGAGACAAGAGTCAGAGAGAAAAAATGAAAGATGCTACCCCCCAGTGGCGGAGTGCGGTAATTCAAAACGTCACAGCCGAGGTTAGTAAGTGCCATGGCCTTTCTGTAGTGGTGGTGCTTGGTACATTTTTACTTTGTAAACTTCTTAAATACAAATTTAAAAACCACAGGCCATATGACTGATGAGAGTTTGAGTTATTGCTGCCATTTTCTATATACGGTGACATATATTATATATTATATACACATGATTTTTTAAACCATGCCATTTTATGCTCTTTGAAGAGTTAGTTGATTATGACCAACTATCCAACTATCCACATATTATATATTATATATACATGATTTTTAAAGCCATGCCATTTTATGCTCTTTGAAGAGTTAGTCGATTATGACCAACTATCCAAAAATTAAGATTTTCTACTTGATTCCAATATATGGTCTACTGTGTCTACAAGAATAAAATAATGCTCTTTTGCAAATAAAATCACGTTAACATAATTTTTAATAATAATAAAAATATTCAATTTCTTCTTCTTCCTCCAAATTTTCTTCTAATATGGGGATGAATCTTAGTGTATTATTAAGTTCATAACAAACCTAATATTATTTCTTTAAACTCAGGAGTGTTGGCTTCATGAGCAGAGATCCTTTCTAAGCCAGGACCATGCCTTCTGTGAGTCTCACCCCCACATGTCTGGGTGTTCTTGCTAAGGACTCAGGTCCTGACCAGAATTCCTAGCACACACACCCGGGGGACTTTGGGGACACCCAAGCCCAGGGGTCTTGCCAGGGTCTCTCATTCATAGGTGAGGTCTGGGCCCAGTGCGATGAGAATACTCCCTGGCTATTCTTTCTTGTTCCCTGGAGAGAAACCAAGGTTCTCAGAATTGCGGAATGCCATTGAAAAAGAATGTGGCATGGATTCCAAACAAAAATGGTGAAGGAGCAAAGGTTTACCTTTCCATGGTGCTGCTAGGTTTAAATGTGCCTCCACGCACAAGGTGGTCATTGTTTTTAACATGGGAATGTGTTTAGATTCACAGGTAAATGCCCCTGTCCCACCTTACACCTCTATCTCCTGGCTGGGACTGTCCAAGGGATCAGGCCAAACCTTGGGGTCACCTTTGGCTGCTCTGTCTCTCACCTCCCTTTACTCTCGCCCTCCCCCCCATCAGCAAATCCTGCTGGCTCTCCCATCAAAACCCATCCGGAAACCCATCCCTCAATCCTTCTCACGTGCCCACCGTCATGGGCACTCAGATCAGATCCGCAGCAGCCTCCAACCGCCTCCTGCCTCCCCACCCAGGCAGAAGCCAGAATGAGCCTCTAAAATGCACATCAGATCCTGCCAGGCCTCTGCTCAAAACCCGCTTCACTGGGGGTAAAATCCTATACCTGTACAGCCTCAGGCACGGTGTCCCTCTCTGCCCCCTCTTCCCACTCGCCCTCGCCTCATCGCAGGGATCCTGTCCCCCACTCCAAGCAGGGCACAGTGCCATATCCCCCCTGCCTGGACAGTCAGTGCACATAGTAGGAGATGGCAGAACCCTCGTAGAATGAATGAATGAATGAATATCGAGGCCCCAGGATAACCTTTATTTAATGTCTGAAACTATATCCATGTTTCCCCCATCGTGGTGCAAGGACAAAACAGGACTTATTTCAGTCCTGCCTGGGGAGGGTGGGTACCTTGTGTGACTACACAGTTGTTTAGCTAACCGTGTACTGACTCCAGGGTCACTCATAAGAAAGCTTCAAAGCCAGGCATGCTGGGTGTGCCTGCAGCTACTGTCCCCAGTGAGGCAGGAGGACACTGAGCCCGAGTCCTGGGCTGGGCTATGCTAATTAGGTGTCCTCACTGAGTTTGGCATCATTGTGGTACCGTCCTGGCAGCAGGGGACCACCAGGTTGCCTAAGGAGGGATGGACTAGCCCAGGCCAGAAGCAGCAGGTCAACACTCCCATGCTGATCAGATCAACAGTGGGCTCCTACTTGGGAATAGCCACTGCACTTCAGCCTGGACAACACAGTGAGACCCCATCTCTGAAAAAAAGTGCTTTAAAGACAAGAGCAAAAACACAACAGAAACCATCTCATCCTTGAGCTTTTCCCTCCGTTCACCTTGTCTTCCTCTTTCTAGAGAGTCATTTACAAAATCCAGTTCAATGAAGTTTCTGGCTAATTGAGGACCCTATAGGGTGCATCCTACATGGTGTGTTGATTGAGCAGCTCTCTGTGCTTAGTGCCATGGAGGGCTGGGAGGCACGACAGTGAGCGAGACGAGGCCTGTGCCCTCCAGGTGCTGACAAAACCAGCCGGGGGTGGGGAGACAGACACCCGGGCGTTTACAGCCCAGGCAGGAGTTGAGCAGAGCTGACACCCTTGTGCTTGGGGCCTGGGGGGTCCGTTACATCAACTCTTGCTCGGTCCAATTTATCAACACCGCTATTACTAATCTAATAATAACAATAATTTCTAGTAGGCCTGCCTTCTTTGGTATCAAAGGGTTATTTTCCTACTGCCAAATTAATGATAAAAGAAAACAACTCATTGGAATTAAAAGCAGTTGTGCTTGCTCATGGTGGAGAGAGAGGGGCATGGGCTCTTTCTGGGAGGGTGTGGGACGTATGAGTATTTCTTTGAGGACCCCCCCCGCCACCCCCACCCCCTAGCGCCACCCTCCAACAAAGCGTCACAGAGTATGAAAAAAATCAAAGTCACACTGGGTCTGTTTCTATCGGCTTTGCCCTTTAATGTTTAACATCTGGAGGGGAAATGTCCCCAAACTTTTCAAAACAAATGAAGATGTGTATTCTAGGTTTGTGGTGAGAATCACAGACAGGGCCGGTCACTTCTCACGTTCCTGAGGTCCGAGCTGGCCAAGGTGCCCACCCCCCTCCCCGCAAGAGGCCCTCGGAGGAGATTTCTTGGGGGCTGGGTTTGCCTCTGCATGGCTTCTAGATTTCAAAGGCTGCTTGGCATGGTGGTGGGCCAGCAATTTTCCGATCCCATTTTCCGTTGTATTCCATTAGCCCTGGGTCCACGTCTTCGTTCTTGTCAAACAAATCCCAGATCATTGGGCATAATGGATCCACTACTAGATTTTAGGGCAAACACTGAAAATAACTATGGCTGTAGCAGAAAGGAAGCTTTCTGTCCTATATTGAGAATCATTAAGAGTTGGCATGCTATGTTTCAGCTGTCACAAATAAAAGCGACTAACGGAGCAGTCAAGTAATGCAACCGAGTAAAGGGGTCTCAGGATTTAGTGGACGCGTGCAGTTTGTGAGTGGAGGAGTCTTGAAAAGCGGGAAGACCTGCCTTCATCTCAGAGAACAGCTATTGCTCAGCTCTAGTCAGCAGCTGCCAGGCAGGAATGCGCTGGGCACGGGCAGGAATCCGGATTTTTATGTGATGCAACAGCACCATGAAACCTGTCTGACTGCTACGAAGAATGCAGTTTGCAAGCAGCAGCATATATTAGTAAAAGCCGTATCTCAAAGCTTGGTTATGGTCCTAGGCACTCAGAAACAGGTGGCATTTGCACCGATGCATATTCTACTTTGTTAGGTTATGTGTTGGGCTTTGTCACACGAATATCCTTCCCAGGTGTGCAGTATTTGGCAACACACTGAGCACTTTCATAATAATTATAGGCGCCGTTTTGCAGATAAAGATGAGCTCATTTAGGGGTATCTGGGTGGTTTAAAAGGTGGAGTGGGAATCTTACACCTATGATTCTTCTCCAAGTAGAATGTGCTTTTGTTTCTTCCCTGCTGTTTGAATGTGCAATTGCAGGGCATTAAAAATAGTTGCAAGTCCTTGAATGCTTCTCCCATCAAAGGTCAGGCTATTTCCTCTCACTTTGCATCTTGGCTGGCTTGGAACTGCTTTGACTAATAAAGCGAGGTGGATGCCTTTAGGAGAATTGGCAGCTAGAGAGACCACGTGGAGAGACCCCCGGACCACATGAGGAGGGCAGGTCCAGCTGAGGCGGCCTTCCAACCCCCCACCAAGGGGCCAGAGTGAACCATCCTGCCCCCTGCAGACCCACTGGCTGCCAGCTGACCGCCATCTGGGGACTCCAGTCAGTGGCATCTTCCACGTGAACTCTGCCCCAAATTCCTGACGCGTGAAACCATGACGTTAAATAATAACTTGGTTATTGCGGTAAGCCATTAAATCGCAGGGAAGTATGTCAATTAGATAACTGCAATCTCTGAATGAAGTATTATTTATTTTATTCTGATTTACATAAGTATATCGATGTCAATATAGTAAATCTGCAGAATGCAGAAAAACACAAGAAATAAATTAACCTTCTATCTAAAGATTGTCACCAGTAATATTTATCCCTCCAGATCTTTCTCTGTTTTTTTATTTTATTTTTTACAAAATTGAAATCAGAGTGGGTTTACTGCTGTGTAGTCTGCTTTTATCACTTAGCACATCGTGAACATTTTCCCATGTGATGAAACACTCTTCAGTGTGATTTCTAATGGTCGCACAGAAAATTTGTATCATGGACATACCATGGCTTGTGTGACCAGTTTTATATTGTTTGCATATTTAGTTTGTTTCCAGATTTTCCACATTGTAAATATTGTTGCAATCAATATCCTTGTCTGTAATCATTAGTTCGTATGTCCTGATTATATTTTAGGATGCATGTTTACAAATGAAATTGTTAGGTATAAAGTTTATGTAAATTTTCAGGCTTTTGAATATTGGGAAATTGCTCTGTAGACTAGCAATATTTGAAATGACAACTTTTCAATAACTCTTCAAATATTGGTATTGATATAATCATTTTTTAAAAAAGCTTTCTTTTTAACCTATCATTTTTTTTTTTTTGGTGCTGTCAGGAACTGTAATAACTGCTAACAACTCTATGAAGTAAGTATGATTATCAGGCCTAATTTACAAAGGAAGGAAATAGAGACTTAGAAAGGTTAAATAATTTGCCTAAAGCCATATATAGATTTGCATGCAGGCCTGTCTGCCTCTACACTCTTAACTCTTCTAAATACACTGCTTTGCAACTCTCAGAAAAGTGTTATTTTAAAAAAATTGTGTTTTTCTGATATATTGTGTTGCCAAACATTTTTCCATGTCCATAAACCATTTGCCTGGCTCCTATTCATATCTTTTTTCACAGTGTTTCTCTATTATGTTCATACTTTAATCATTTACTTGTAGATGCTCTTTATATATAAAGGGCATTAGCCTTTCGTGTCTGTTGCTCAGTTTTCTCTTGTTATTTTAATTTTTGTTTTTTATTTAATACATGCTGCTTGTCTACTTACAAATTAAAAAATTTAAAGATATATTCTAATACGGTGACAAGTAGCAATATTCTCAGGGCATGCAAAACTTCAGAGCTGGGAAGACCTTTTGCGGTTAATGTTTATTTAATGTTTGTGTAGGAAAGAAGAGACCTGGAGAATGAGGTGCCTGTCCTGTGGGGAAAACCAACAGCGTCATCTCCTTCAGGAAAAATTGCATGCTGTCTTACGTACCTTTGCATATGGGTAGAGAAAATAAACTTGAGCAAGCTAACAAATAAAATTTCAAAAACAGAATCTTAGGTCTTTATATATATATATATATATATATATATATACTTCCTTTGCCAAGGGGATGTTAATGATTCAATTAGCTCCTCTCACAGAACATCAAAGCTGGACATTCTAGATCATCTGGTACGTGGAAACCCTTTAAAAATTAAGCCCTGATTCGGAAACCCTAACACGAACATGTGCTGGGCTTCTGCTCAGATTCATGGGCAAAGTTCCAACTGGTTGAGGTCGGGGCCACTTTGGTCTGGGAGGGGCCTTTCCCCTGGTGTCCCTGTGCCCACTTGGGGAGTCTGCCTTCTGCACCCTCACTCGGGAACTGCTCTGCCCCAGGCGTCTCTGGTGGTGGAACTGGGGACAGTGGCCGCAGGCCAGGTCCCTCTCTCTCCGTGCTCCAGACCATGGTCAGAAGGACCTTCATCTCCTCATTGCTTTAGAGGGTGCTGCTTCCTGAACAGCCCCCCCTACCCCAGTCACCCTCTGACTGCCCCTTCTCTCCCCCTGCCCCCCTACTTTCGTCTTTGGAGCAGACAAGTGCACTGTGCAACCAGGAATCATTTTCTGCTTTATTTATCAACTGAGAGAGTAAAAGCTGGGCCCTGGAAAGGGTCCGAGGGAAGGAAATCAAGCAAAACAAACAAACAAACCAATGATACTTTGGGATGCAACCCAGCTGCGGACCAAGAAGGGTTGTTGTGGGGGCGCACTCGCACGGTTCCAGTCCTACGCCCAACCTCACCCCTACTCTGCATTAGCAGTGCCCACGGAACAGCCCGTGGAGCTGAGCCTCCTTAGGAAACTTTGAAAACCGGTGATATGATCCTGATGCCGAAGCCCGCACAGAGAGACAGACTTGCCAAAGGTCACGCAGCAAGTTAATAATTTGTCCGGGTCTTAAATTCAACTGACCAATCTGGGGCTCCCAATGGGGCCAGTGCTTTGCCAGCCAAATAGAAATAAAGAGATGTCAAAAACAAAAAAGTGTTTTTCCTATTAAGAAAGATTTCACAGATGACAGATGTAGAGAAGTGATGTAATCACCATGCAGCCATCCACAGCTTCAGCAATTATTAACACAGGTGTACAGGCTGAATTTAAAGCCTCTGATTACTCTCTCTAGCAACGTGCCCGTGGTCTAGCTGGACAGCAGCCTGCAGGAGAGAGAACTGAGTGGCCTCCTGCAGTCTGAGCACTCAGTGGCACAGGCTGGGGCTGGGCGGGTGACGGGGTGAGTGCGGGCGATGTCATTCATTTGCCTTATGGCTCCAGCAATTTGCCCCAAGTAATTCAGACACACTCTTGGATCCTGCTGGACTGGTTTCACTGAAGTGACATTTCACAGCTTTAGTTCTAGTACTTTTTTCTTTCTAGACTCCTTTAGATTTTCTACTTGCATGATCATGTTTGCTGTGAACAAACGTAGCTTTACTTCTTCCTTTCCAACCTGCATACATCTTGTTTCATTTTCTTGTGCTAGTAGACTGGTTAGAACAACCAGTACAATGTCAAATACAGGTGAGAGTTTGTCTTGTTCCCAGTCTTAGAGGGAAAATGTTTAGGATTTCCCCATTAATTATGATCTTAGCTGTAGATTTTTTGTAGCTGCCTTTCTGTAGATGCCCTTAAAATGTTCCCTTCTGTTCCAAGTTTGCTGAAATTTTTTGTTATGAATACATGTTGAATCTTCTCAAATGTTTTCTTTGAAGCTATTGAAATGAACATATGATTTTTTTCCCCTTTATTCTGTCAATATGCTGCATTACACCGATTTGCAAAGTTAAACCAACCTTGCATTCCTGGGATAAACCCTACTTGCTCATGTTGTATTATTTCCTCATATATATTGCTGGATTTAATTGCTAACATTTTAAAAAATAATTTATGTGGTCATGTTCATTAGGAGTATTGCTACATAATTTTCTTTTCTTGAATGTTTTTGAATGGCTTTAGTATTAGGATAATTCGGACCTCATAAAATGAGCTGGGAAATATTCCCTCCTTTTCTGTTTTCTGAAAGACTTTATATATAATTGGTGTTATTTCCTCTTTAAATGTTTGGTAGAATTTATCAATGAAGCTGCTTGGGCCTAAAGTTCTTTTGAGAGAAGGTTTTAATTTATAAATTTAATTGCTTTGATAGATATAGGGGCATTTAGGTATTTTTTCATCTTGTGTCAGTATTAACTGGTATTTTTCAAGGAATTTGTCCATTTCATTAAAATTGTTGAAAGTGTAGGCATAAAGTTGTTAAAATATTCCATTATTCTTTTACTGTTTGCAGGAACTACAGTGAAGTACCCTTTTCATTCCCAATATCAATCATTTATTATTTCTTTTCTCTCTCTTTTTTTTCTGCCCTTTCACCCCCACCCCCTTCTCTTTGAATAATCCAGCTTGAAATTTATCACTTTTATTGATCTTTTCAAAGAAGCATCCTTTGGTTTCATAAATTTTCTTTTTTGTTTGCAGATTTCTTATTTCATTGATGTCTACACCTTTTTCTCTTCTTTCTATTCACTTAGAGATTAATATCTTATTTCCCTAATTTCTTAAGGTATAAACTTTAGATCTTGTCTCTTTCTAATACAAGCATATTAAACTAGACATTTTCTTCTAAATTCTGCTTTATCTGCAGAGCACAAATTTTTATATGTTGTATGCTCATTATCATTTAATTAAATCTAATGTTTACTTTTTCTCCTAAGTCTTGACCCATAGGTTATTAATATTTAGTGAGTGTTTCATTCCCATGTATTTAAATATTTTCCAGGTATAGTTTGTTATCGATTTGTCACCCCTTCCTGCCTTGTGGCCAGAAAGTGCCTCCAGGTAGAAGGCTGGAGTGAGTGGTTCTCACTTACCATGTTTCTCTTCTTTTGGGGACAGTGCTGTTAGATAAAATAGCTTTAGTTCTAGTACTTTCTAGTACTCTAGTACCATTCGATTTGAATTTCAGAATAAACAGTGAAAACTTCTCAGTATAAATATGTCTCAAATATTGCATGAAATAGACTTATTCTAAAAAATTAGTCATTGTTAATCTAAAATTTGTATTTAACTGGGTATTCAGTATTTTTATATATTACATCTGGTAATGCTATTCAGGGATCACATAGTCCTACACTGTCTGTTGTCCACCATCTGACAATAGTTGATGTATGCATTTTTTTCCTTCCAGTTTTCTAGTTGACCATAGGAAATGTCTAGTAAAGTTTGGTACCAGTTATTCTGCCATAGTTAGAAGTATGAGTCTCATACCTCCTTCTAAAGGCAGATGAACGAATTCTTGAAGAAAGGGACCATCTCTATGCCAAACTGCACCAAATGGGATCCTTGGTTCATCTGGAGCAGTACTTTGACAAGATACTCCATGAAAAAAGGTGTTTTGGTCAAACGTATTCAGGCAATGCATTCTCTACTTTCCACTTCGAGATTTGCAATACCCATCAGCCTACTTAAGAAACTTTCCTACTTGGAAAGTTCTGCCTAGTGAAATCTCATTTTCTTTAATTCAACATCTTCCTGTTATATTTGACTACCAGAATACTTTTGTTTTCGATTACATAATACTGTAAAAGATACAAAATCTTACTGGCCACAAACTCAGGTTGCACAAAAATATAACTTCTTATATTTTCTTCTGTAACTTAATCTAATTTTTATCTTGATTGTCCTTCCACTTAATGATATAAAACTTGATTTTTCCCTAAAATATTTTTTACTAATTTTTAACACATTGAATAGCATTACATTTATACAGTAACACATTCACAGTTTTTTTTTTTTTTAAAGCAATATAGTAAAATGTTTTTCTCTCATCCTGTCCCTACTCTGTCCAGTTCTCAACTTCCCTCCAGGCAGCCACTTTAATTAATTTCTTGTGTGTCCCTCACAATGTCTTCTTTACATTCAAATAAGTATGAACTTATTTTCTTATTCCCCCGTCTAATAAAATACAGCATCTTGATTTTTTTCACTTGAAATATTTTGAAAAATTTTCCACATTACTACCGACAACGATTTCTCGGTTTTGTTTTTGCAATTTCTCAATTTTGTTTTGTTTTGTTTTTTTATGACGGGAAAGTATTTCCTTGTATCATGAACATTTGAGTTGTTTCCACTCTTGTGCTGTTAGGAACCACGTTGACCTGGCTAGCCTATATTTATGTCACTTCTCCCCATGAATTTATCTGTAGGATAAGTTCTCACAATTATAGTTACGAGATCGAAGAGTATATGCATTTGTCATTCTGATAAATATTGCGAATTTATCTTCTATAAACATTGTGAAATTTATTTTATCCTAATAATGAGTGAAGCATGCCTACTACCCAGCGCTTCCAACAATAGAAAGTATTTACTTACACAACTTCTGGATTGTTGCCAATCTGATAGGTGAAAAACAGTAGCTCAACCCGCTTTTAATAAAAGTCAGTTATATTTTCCATGTCTGCTTTTCTATTGGATGGCTGGTCTTTTTCTTATCTGTTCCCGTAGATAGTTGTTACTTGCATTTTCTTTTTACGGGAGGTCTTGCGGAAATTTCTTAAAATTTTTATTTTATCAAACACATCAATCTTTTCTTTTATGACATCTTGGTTTTGAGCCATAATTAAAGAGATCTTTGCCTTTCTAATGTGATGAAGACATTTTCCATGTTTTCTTCTAGAACTCCTACGACTTAATTTTAAATTTTTAAATGTTTGATGAAGTTTGAATTTTCCAGGTATGAAGTATGGACCAACTTTATTATGTTTTTCTTCCAATTAGTTGTGTAATGTTTTCAACTTAAGATATTGGATAGTCCATTGTTTCTCTGTTGATTTGAGATGGGGTAGCAACAACGAGTCAATTTAGGGTGAATTTAGTCAATTCATATTTTCCCCAGGAAACAGTGAATGGCTTGCTCTTCCCTGGCCTCAGTGCAGGAAGAGAGCCACAGAGAACCTTCTCTGGGCTTCCATCTTCTCACTGGGAGTTCTGTGGACTTGCCCTTGG